AGAAGAGCGCTTGACCTGAGATAATGTCCATGCTTTTTTTTTTCTCTAAGTGTTAAAATTGCCTTGAAATGAAATATCAAACTTCAATACTTATTGCTAATTATATACTACTGTAAGAAGAAGAAAAAGCAAATATGTCAGAAAACACTTACTGCTAAGTATATGATCCAAATCCATCCTACATGTGGTGAAATCTTTTTTTTTGGTTGGATACATGTGGAGGAATCTATAGATGACACTAGTAGTGAGTTCTGTCACCAAAAAAAAAATCAAAGATAATAATGAACTATTCAATTAGTTGGCAGAGAATATTCTAACCCACGGTTAGATTCTTAACCATGGTTAAATACATGTTGAGCGATTAAGCGATCATGTGCGATATTGCGATATTGCATCCACGCAAATTTCTTTGAAAGTTTGCGCGATACTGCATCCACACGGAAAAAAAAGTTTTTAATTTGCGTTATTAAACCAGTCCACATATTTATGTCATAATCAGTCAATCTCATCTTCTTGGAAATGTTGAATACGTCACTCGAATACGTTACTTAAGGCGGAAGAAAATCAATTACCAATGTCGAAAAACTTATTATCGTCCTTGTTTTCGAGATCCTCCTACACCGTCCAACTCGTTCTTATCGAACAATTTTTTCACCTTTTGTCAGTTCCTTTCTCGTATACCCTATTCCATCTGATTATAAGTCCGATTGTTAGCAAAAGATAGATACAATAAAAAATAGAGCTAACATTTTGTAATATTTTTTTATTATTTATTGATTGGATACACAAAAGATGATATATATCGTAACACTGCGTTACAATATAAGTACTTATGAAGTACATCATTGTCATTGGGACCGGGCATTTCGCGATTAGTACTTCGATCTGTTTTTTTTTTGTCATCTGAACAAAAAGCTTCATTATCTATGTGAATGTTTTTTTTTTTTTGATAATTAATCTATGTAAATGTTATTAAAGAAAACTAAAGTGATTAATGTCAATAATATGTCGTCCGTTCATAGCCTTTCGTATTTAATAAACTAGAATGTGGTTCGCGACTTTGTTTTACAATTTTGTTAAATATAGTGACGAAAAGTTTAAATTGATCTAATAGTTTTCAAATATTTTTGTATTTACTACTTTTAATCAAATTTACATATATTCGTTTTTTATTTAATTTAAATTTTTAGTAG